CACAGATTACGTGTCTTCAGCTTCGGGGATACACCATATTCTCTTCCTCGCAATCTGATTAGCATGACAAGGCAACAAATAGATAATGAGACATTCAGAGTAGGGAAAGTAAGGAACTCAAATCTGTATACATGTATGCAGAGAGTGTTTTCTCAGAAAACAGATTTTTGTGCTGTTCATGATCATAGCTTTAGGTCAAGGACGGTATAAGGGGGAAAAAAACTCTAAACTTCTACTCTGGGCAGTAGAGTTTTTGTTTGTTTGCTTTTGTTTGTTTTTTACTGATTACAGAATTCCCTTTCGTTTATCAAAACTATTTTCAAAAAGGCATCCCAAAGAAAGGCAATTGGCTGAAGATTATTTAAGGAGTGTAGATAAAACAAAGTTCCAGGGACTAAGCATTTATTCACTCGAATAAGCATTCCTAACATTTAGAGATCTGGGAATATAAAACTGAATCAGTAAGATTGCATATCCTATAAACCAAAGCCAGGTGGAGTTGTAAAAATGCCTTTGATCATCATTTGCCTCTGAAATGCCTTCAAGAATTTCCCTACCTCAATAATGCTTAGAGTCATCCAGGGACCCTTATGAGTCCTTGAGACCCTTAAAGAAGGCCTGTGAGGACAAAACGATTTTCATAATAATACTATGATGCTGTTTGTCTACTTCACTCTCATTCTTTCATGAGTGTACAGGGGGCATTTTCCAGAGGCCATATGATTGATAATTATTGCACTAGGCGAAGAAATACAGATGCACACATGAGAATCCAGATATTGTCTATTAGAGTAGACATTAAATAGATTTGTGAAAACAAACAAGAAAAAGCAATACTACTCTCCTTACAAAGGTTTTAATTTCAGAAATTACGGTGTTTGTTAAAATAAAACATATTATGTACATAATGGGTTTATTGCTATCATTCTTGAATAAATTAATATCTTTAAAATTTCTCCATTTCAATTATTAATAAAATAAATATCAGTAAATGTAATACACACAAACAAAAGCTCTTTGAGGTCCTCAAATTTTTAAGAGGGTGAAAAGTTTCTAAGCCCAATAGTTCAGAAACCACTGGGCCATCAGTTCAAACCCAGTCTCTGATATTCCAGGCCCACGTGGACAAACTCTTGTGTGTTTGTAATTTTACCACCACTACATTCTGAA